GGTCTAATCTGAATCTGCGTGGTGCCTCACCCCGCTGGACCCACCAGCAGCCCTCGAATGTGGCGACAGTTTCGCAACCAACAGCCCTCGAATGTGGCGTCAGTGTCGCAGATCGCAGCCCCCCAGGGATGGCGAGGTCTAATCTGAATCTGCGTGGTGCCTCACTCCGCTGGACCCACCCTCAGCCCTCGAATGTGGCGACAGTTTCGCAGATCGCAGCCCCCCAAGGATGGCGAGGTCTAATCTGAATCTGCGTGGTGCCTCACTCCGCTGGACCCACCAGCAGCCCTCGAATGTGGCGTCAGTGTCGCAGATCGCAGCCCCCCAGGGATGGCGAGGTCTAATCTGAATCTGCGTGGTGCCTCACTCCGCTGGACCCACCAGCAGCCCTCGAAAGTGACGACAGTTTCGCAGATCGCAGCCCCCCAGGGACGGCGAGGTCTAATCTGAATCTGCGTGGTGCCTCACTCCGCTGGACCCACCAGCAGCCCTCGAAAGTGACGACAATTTCGCAGATCGCAAACCCCCAGGGATGGCGAGGTCTAATCTGAATCTGCGTGGTGCCTCACTCCGCTGGACCCACCAGCAGCCCTCGAAAGTCGAGGTCTAATCTGAATCTGCGTGGTGCCTCACTCCGCTGGACCCACCAGCAGCCCTCGAAAGTGACGACACTTTCGCAGATCGCAGCCCCCCAGGGATGGCGAGGTCTAATCTGAATCTGCGTGGTGCCTCACTCCGCTGGACCCACCAGCAGCCCTCGAAAGTGGTGACAGTTTCGCAGATCGCAGCCCCCCAGGGATGGCGAGGTCTAGTCTGAATCTGCGTGGTGCCTCACTCCGTTGGACCCACCAGCAGCCCTCGAAAGTGGCGACAGTTTCACATATCGCAGCCCCAAAGGGATGACGTAAAAGGCAAGAGAGAAGAGGAGGAGCGAAGAGAGGAGGAGAAGGGAAGCAAGAGAGGAGGAGCGAAGAGAGGAGAAGGGATGCAAGAGAGAAGAGGAGGAGCGAAGAGAGGGGGAGAAGGGAAGCAAGAGAGGAGAGAAATATTGAAGAGAGGAGGAGGAGGCGGGAAGGAAGGAAGGTGGAGACCGCAGTGCTCTATTCAAAACGAGTACCCAACGCAGGAGGGTTGGGAATAATAAGAAGGGGAGGAGGAGGGGGAGGAGGAGGAGGAGGAGGGGGAGGAGGAGGAGCAGGAGCAGGAGCAGGAGGAGAGGAGGGAGGAGGAGGAGGAGCGAGAATGGGGGAGGGCGGAGGGATGAGGCAAAAGGGAGGAGAGAGGAGGGAGGAGGAAGGTGGGAGGAGGGAAGAGGGGGGAGGGATGAGGGATGAGCGAGGAGCGAGGAGCGCGGAACGAGGACCGAGGAACGAGGAACGAGGAGCGAGGAACGATGATGATGAGGGCAGAAGGAGGAGCAGGAGGAGGAGAAGGAGGAGAAGGAAGATAATGATGATGATGGTGATGATGATGATGATGATGCTGATGCTGATAATGACAATGATGCTGATGATGCTGATGATGATGATGATGATGACGATGGCGTTGATGATGATGATGATGATGCTGATGCTGATAATGATGATGCTGATGATGACGATGATGATGATGATGATGATGATGGTGATGATGATGATGCTGATGCTGATGCTGATGCTGATGCTGATGATGATGATGCTGATGATGATGATGATGCTGATGATGATGATGATGATGATGATGATGGTGATGATGATGATGATGATTATTATGATTATTATGATGATTGTGATGATGATGATGCTGATGCTGATGATGATGATGCTGGTGATGATGATGATGATAATGATGATGATTATGATGATGATGATGATGCTGATGCGGATGCTGATGCTGATGATGATGATGATGGTGATTGATATGATGCTGATGATGTGATGATGCTGATGATGATGATGATGATGATAATGATGATGATGATAATGATGATGATGATTGATGATGATGATGATGATGATGATGCTGATGCTGATGCTGAAGCTGATGTTGATGATGATGATGATGATGATGATGCTGATGATGCTGATGATGCTGATGATGATGATGATGATGATGATGGAGATGATGATGATGATGATGATGATGATGATGATGATGATGATGATGATTGATGATGATGATGATGATGATGATGATGATGATGATGATGATGATGATGATGATGATGATGATGATGATGATGATGACGATGGACGATGATGATGATGATGATGATGATGATGATGATGATGATGATGATGATGATGATGATGATGATGATTGATGATGATGATGATGATGATGATGATGATGATGATGATGATGATGATGATGATGATGATGATGATGATGATGATGATGATGATGATGATGATGATGATGATGATGATGATGATGAGGATGATGATGATGATGATGATGATGATGACGACGACAACGACGACGTGCGAATGCGGATGCGGATGCGGAGGAGGAGAAGGAGGACGAGGAGGATGAGGAGGAGGAGGAGGAGGAGGAGGAGGAGGAGGAGGAGGAGGAGGAGGAGGAGGAGGAGGGAGGAGGAGGAGGAGGAGGAGGAGGAGGGAGGGAGGAGGAGGAGGAGGAGGAGGAGGAGGAGGAGACGGAGGATGAGGAGGAGGTGCAGGACGCGGATGTCATGGCGGGAACCATGTAGTGATCCCTGGTTTCATGACCCCATTTCCTCATGTCAGCACGTTCCCTGGTCTTCCCCTCGTCCGCGCACGCGCCTTGGGCCATGATGCGCGCCCCCCTCTTTTCCCCGGCGCCCCTCTTATTCGGCGCGCCCGAGAAGCCAGGACATTCTGCAAACTAGGACGAGAAGCCACGCCTCGGGCCCCAGGAGCGACGATCGGGAAGCTATCAGGGGCAACGTCAGGCTGGGGGGACATTCTCAGGAGGGAGTGCAACCTCTCAATCGCCGATGGATCGCCGATAGGACCTCAGCAAAGCAGGACTCTCAGAGGAGAAAAAGGTCCACCGCTACTGAGAACACATCGGGGGAAGCCCACCGCTGGGCAGTGGCACGCCTGAGCGTCGTCCGGTGCTGGGTGACGCTCGGGCGTGCCACCGACCAGGGTTCGGTCCCCCGAGGTCCTGCGGTTCCCCGTCTCAGGGCCCAGGATCGATGACCCAGAAGCCGGGACTCTTGGCCCTTGGGGATCTGAGCTCAAATGCTGCGCCTTGACATTTGTGCAGCACGCCTGCGCCCTCCCCCGAGTCATGGAAACGACCTCGGTGCTAACCCCCATAGGAACCGGGGCATTGTAGGGAAGAACTTTACCATCTCTGGCGGAAGGCAGCAGAGAGACCGGAGAGTGCTTCGACCCACACTTGCAGCTTCTGCCGGGCGTGCCGCCCTCCTGGTTTGCCAGATCTCCCGTGTATTTGAAATCGTCGGAGGCACAAGAGGTCATGAGACTGATACATTCCAAAATTTCCAGGATTTCCACGAGTTCCTGATGTCCCACAGCGGCTGCAGAACCGAGGGCCGCTAGTTCCTCTGGAAATGCTGAAACGTATCTTGTGCCAATCCTATCATGACATCATTCCCGTCCTAATTACGGTCGTATCGTGTCGACGCGGCGGCGACCCCAGCGCCAACGCTCAAGGTGGAATGCCGCCAGCGGCCCAGGATCGGTCTGTGTGGAACGATCTAGCGGTCGCAAAGCTGCCGATCGTTCAGGGTTGAACGATCCACGCGGTGTCAGGAACCCACGCCAGCACGCCAGGGCCGTCACGATAAAAGAGCCTACGGTGCGTACATTTCTCCGTCCTCCTGTGAGTCAGTCCGTCGTCCTCAGGGGTCGTTCTAGGTGGGGATAGGCCCAGGGGGATGCATCGAAGATCCAGTTGGTCACCGCTGGAATGTAATGGCCGGCGTAGCTCTCACCAGTAACGAATAATGTATTCTGATTTGGGCTTCGTTTTGAAGATGACCTGCAAGAGTTGATACACATTCTCAGCGACAGTCCTTTCCACAGGCCGACGAATCCTTCGACCCCCCTGCCTTCGTTCGCTGCATCGGAGATCTCCTGGACCTTCTGCCAGTCTCAGCACTGACCACCTCCGTAGCCTTTTCTCGCCCTCCCAGACATCTCGAGCGCACGTGCGCACCGCCCACTGATCCACGCGGGGTCCGAAACCAACGCCTGGGTCGTCACGACACGAGCTTGTCGCCCAGTGCATGGTAGCCACCGGGGCCCTCTTCCAGAGGCCCCGCCCTCTGAGTGGGCGCGGCGGTGCCGGCGGCGGTGCGTGGCGTGGGCATCTCGAGGTCGATCGGGGGGCACCGACTGTGAACCTGCACTCCTTCTCCTCCTCCTCCTCCTCCTCCTCCTCCTCCTCCTCCTACTGAACCCGGCCAGGCCGACCCAGGGCCCATGATCGGCGTACAGTCAACGCGCCCAGTAAGGACGCGCGCCTTCATCTAGGGTACCCTTGTGTCCTTGCCTCGTTACGAACGAAATGGGTACGGAAAGAATGGGCACAATGCCGAACAACAGTTCCTGTTATGTTGAACAGGACTCGCTGTCCGCGCCGCCGCGCCCTGCGCCAATTTGAGACAGAAGGCCGCCTGCCCAACAGCGGCCGCTGTTGGTTTGGGACAACATTTGTTGTTGGGCGTTGTACCCATTTTTCCCGTACCCATTTATGGCGTTCAAATTGCCTGTGCGGCCCGTCCTTGCTCGTTTTCCCTGGTCGGCCGCCATCCAACGTGTCCCGATTTCGGCCTCCAAGGGTCTTGTTACCTTACCACCCGTCCGTAGTACACGTTATGATTGCATGTAGCTGCACAGTTGGCGTCCTCCGAGTCGTGTGCCCTCTTGCGACCCCGCTTCTCCCAGGGGGCTCGCAGAAGAAGTGGCTCCCGGAGGCTTCTCCAGAGGCCTGGAGAGCGGCGCATAGACGTCTAACGAATTGAATCTCCTCGATGCTGCTGTGAGCCTCGCTCCACCAGGGAGCCCTGGCGGATTCGCGAAGACGAAGATGTGCAAGTTCTTCATTCTTGGAACGTGCGCGAAGGGAACGGACTGCAGGTGGGTCCCCCCGCCAGTCCTCGGTCCCTGTGTGCATCGCCCTCCTCTGCGCGGTCCCACCAGCCTGGACAGGTGTTACATCTTCTCCTCCTCCAGGAGGAGGAGGAGGGGGAGGAGGAGGAGGAGTTTGAGGAGGAGGAGGACGAGGATGAGGATGAGGAGGAGGAGGAGGAGGAGGAGGAGGAGACTGCCTCCTTTTCCTGCGGGTCGCTTTTGGGACTTTGTAGGCTTTTTTGTGGGACAGCTCGTCGTTGTGGATGTCATGGCTGTGCCCACTGAGGCGCGGGAGGCTTCCGAGCAGCTGCCCAGACACCCCTCTGGAGAGCGTGCGATCACCTCTAAGACGCCTACGGTGGATAACCGCCGCCCCCTGTGTTGTGGAATCGCCCATGTGGCCGAGCGTTGTGGCAAGAGCTCTGCCAAGCTATCGGGCCATGTGTTCCCCCAACCGTTGCAGAAACCCTTCGGGGAACACTTTGGCGAGGGTGGCGGGGAAGATCAGGAGGAGGAGGAGGAGGAGGAGAGGGCATCTTGGGAGCCTCTGGGGACACTCTTGGGGCCTCCTAGGAGCTTGCTGGGAGCCTCTTGGAGGCATCTTGGGGGCCTCCTTGGGCCTCTTCGGAGCCTTCAGGGGCTTCTCGGGGGCCTCTTTGGTAGTCTTAGGGTATTCCTGGCCCGTCAGACGCCGTCGAAAGCCGTCTCGAGGGCCTCTCTGGGCCGACTTGGGGCCTTCTTGGGGTGCTCCAGGGCCGTCTTGGAGGCCATCTTGGACGTCTTGGAGGCCTCTTGGCCCGTCTTGGGGCCCTCTTGGGGCCGTCTTGGGGGCCTCTTGGGCCATTCTGGGGCCATCTTGGGGGGCCTCGTGGGCGATCTTGGGGCGATCCTTGGGGGCTTCCGGGCCGTCTCTGGCCGTCGGAACACCGATAAGAAGCACATGCCAACATTCATGAAAGACCAAATGCAAATCAATGATTTTGGCATCTTCGGGCCGTTTTGGAGACCTCTTGGGGGCCTCCTGGGCCGTCTGGGGCCATCTTCGAGCAATTTTGGGCTGTCTTGATGGCCTCCTGGCCCGTTTGATGCTGCCGGAAGCCGTCTTGAGGGCCTCTCTTGGCCGACTTGGGGCTTTCTTGTGGTGCTCCAGGGCCGTCTTGGATGAACAGTGTGAAACCGACCCCAACCCTCACAACTATGGATTTTACATGTCAGCGTTTTGCACTTATGGCGAATGTGCGTAAGTGTGGGCGCCCGGAAGGCGAGGCCATTGCCAGCTGTCGCAGGGGGGGGGGCCGTGCGCGGCGGCGACGTGCTGGTCCCACTCGACGCGGCCGCGCCCGCGCCAGCATTCCCAGGGCCGCGCGTGCCAGGGCCGCAGCATGCAGTTTGAGGCGACGGCGGCGCTGTCCCTCGCACGGCAGCGCCGCTGGCCCAGCCGTGGGCCCCCGCCCCCGCCTCCGTCACCCACTCGCAATCCGCCGACGGAGAAGTTTTGATCGAGAGCGTTTCTCTTGAGGCAGCGTTTCCAATCTAAACTTGACGGGGATCCCCCGCGCGAGATTTCGCTTCGGAGAAGTTTGTTCTGTTTTATATACGGTTTGTACAAACTTGTTTCGTCTGGTGCCCAATTTTTGCTTTTTTGGGGACGACCTAAACTTTTCAATGCGCGCCCGTGCGGGGTGGGCCCCGTGCGCCGCCCCAGGCGCTTTCCAGCGCCGCCAAGAGCCGACGCGCCCCTTGGTCTTTGCCCTGGCACGAGCGCGCGGACAATGGGCATTGACAACGTGCCATCGCAAGGTAACGCCGAAGTCGTCAAACGCCAACGAGCATAACCGCAGCGCGCCGTTCGCGTTGAATTGTGCGGCGTTGTCGTTAGTTGACCGTCGAGCTGTTTCCGCTTGCAGTTCGCGCGTCGTTTACGGTCCCATTAGTCTAAAGTTCTTCTTGTGGGGGGCGGGGGGCGTTTTTCATGCGTTCGTTGGAGGTCATCTTGGGCGTATTGAATGCCTCTCGGGCCGTCTTGGGGCCGTCTTGGGAGCCTCCTGTTCCGTTCTGGGACCATCTTGGAGGTTTGTTGGGCGATCTTGGGGCGATCTTTGAGGGCTCCTCTTGGACCGTTTCGGGCCGTCGGAAGATCGAACGTCAGCCAGAGTCACTCATTCAAACACCTAAGGAATCAATGATTTTGGCTTCTTGAGGCTTTTTGGAGGCCCATTGGGGGTTTCTGGGGCCGTCTTGGAGACCCCTTGGGGGCCTCTTGGGCCGTCTGGGGCCATATTCGAGCAATGTTGGGCTGTCTTGATGGCCTCCTGGCCCGTTTGATGCTGTCGGAAGCTGTTTTGAAGGCCTCTCTGGGCCGACTTAGCTTTTTTGGGGTTGCTCCAAAGGCGTCTTGGAGGCCATCTTGGGCGTCTTGGAAGCCTCTTGGGCCGTCTTGGGGGCCTCTTGCGCCGTCTTGGGGCCATTTTGGAGGCCTGTTGGGCGATATTGGGGCGATAGTTGGGGATTTTTTGGGCCGTTTTGGGCCGTCGGAAAGCCGATAAGAAGCAAATGCCCAAACACCTACAACACCACCAAGGTAAATTAATAATTTTGGCCTCTTCGGGGACGTATTGGAGGCCTCTTGGGTTGTCTTGGAAGCCTCTTGGGCACTTCTTGGGTTCTCTTGGACCATGTTGGAAACGTTTCGGGCGGACTTGGAGGCATCTTGGACCCCCTTGGGTCGTCGTGGAAGCCATAATTGACCATATCGGGCGAACTTCGAGGCCATCTCGGGCCATCTGAGCCGTCGTAGAAACCATTTTGGGCCATCTCGGAACGGGAAGGCATTGACATACACACTTTGCGGTCCTTCCCAGGTGGCCGGCAGGACGGCCGAAGTCTTGGGAGGAGTCCGCCGCCCCTGGTACTTGTCACAGGGGTGCCTGGCGTGCTAGATCCGACGGTCTTTGGTATTTGTTCTTGTTCTAAAAGAACTCCCCTTGGGTCTTCGGCCCGTCCCGCCGGCCACCCGAAAAGGACCGCAAAATGTATATGTTAATGCCTTTCCCGTTCCAAGATGGCCCAAGATGGCTTTTAAGACGGCTCAGATGGCCCGAGATGGCCTCTAAGTTCTCCCGAGGTGGTCAGTTTTGGCTTCCTCGACGACCCAAGAGAACTTTAAGGGTAGCTCTTTGGGAGATGTTACAGTATCGGGAGCATAGCTCGCGCGCCGTTGCCTTTGGCCCAAGGCACGCGCGCCCTATTTGCCCGGACACTGCTTGTGTTCGCTATGTGCTGGAAAGATCATTACATCGATCTTATCCGATCTTATCCGTCCACCCCTCATACTGTACTATCACAGCAGAGCGATGGACGCTATTTGCCATCCGATGTCTATCATGGAATCGGATGCTATTTGAGTTACCAGGCTCACTTTCGACTTGGTAGCGGAGCTGGCCGCACTCTCGTGTGGTCAGCTCTTGCTCTTCTTAGCCTCATATTCTTCGGCACGATCTTCGTGACCACCTACCACCCTGCGCCACCACTCCCAGTACGTTTACGAGGATCTATACAAGAGCAAGAAGCGACACGAGAGGTACGACGTCTAGACGACCAGATTGGTACCATATACGCTTCATCATTGCGTTACCACCAACCGCTCGGCAACGAGCTAATAGCGCAATACTTGAAGCAGGGGCGGGGAGACCCGCCAGATAGAGCGCCTCGAAGACTCGACAAGGCGCTACCCCAGCGCGGCAACGCGCCTAATAACCGTCCTTCTCTACACATTCTCGGGCTAGTCGTTTTCGCTATTATATGGTTCGCGCTGGGGGCAGCAATCGGACACATGCGTCGTGGAGAAAACAGCACCGATGGGCAAACACATGGCCCATATTGGGACCCTCAAGGTAATGTACCTTTTCGTGAGTACATCTACGAGGTCAACGCATGGCTCAACGTTACAAGCGGACGTATGACGCCACAGGCCCAAGCGGCCGCAATACAACGCGGCCTAGGTGGCCTAGCGAGGACACTCGCCATGAGGGTACCGCCTGACATTATAAACTACGGTGCTGACATCGATGGGGTCCACACCGACCCAGTGACCTACATCATGTTCCTCCTAAGCATGAAATTCGAACGCCTGGAAGATGAGCGTCAGCTCACTTCCGGCACACAACTCATCGACTTCCACGTGCCTCACGGGGAACGAATCGATGCCACCCTTACCCGATTCGAAATGGCCCGACTTGAGGCGCAGTCGGTGGGATTCGACCTTCCCAACTTCCAACTGCTAACCACTATCCTATTCCGCGCCTTAGGCGTCGGCAACCAGCGAGCCATGCAACTCTTACAGCCACTCAATCACCAAATGCCCCGAACACAACAACAGTGTGATGAGTTGCTGGAGAGGATGCGTTCGATGGGCCACCTATCTGAACGGTCTCCTGGTAACATAGGATCTGTGTTTGGAAGGGGAAGGGGATCTGGTAGTGGAAATTTCTACACTACCCTGACTACTGAAGCCCAGCCTGGAAACGGGCCCTCAAGCATATGGGCCGATGATCCTGGAGAATCCATTGCTTTATTAGCAGGAGATCGATCGCAACCAAGCTGGGCAACCAGCCCTCCTTCTAGAGAACCACAACCACACCGTTCTTTATGGGGGGAATCAAACCCCCTAACCGACGGTGTATCCACCTACTTGGGAGACGAGGATTTCGACTCCGGCACAGATACAGACACTATATCATCAGATGGTGTTGAAGCTTTAGATTGGTCAGATATCATGAATATGGATAACGACAATCAGCGTGCTGAACATTTGTTCTGGTTATTACAACAGGCTAAACGAAGGTGGAGGAGGTTCACGCGAAAACCAGTGCGTCGTGTTAGAAGGAGGATGCGGAGAAGTTTTAAAGGAAAAGGCAAAGGCAAGCGAGGTCGTCGGAGGTTGAACGGACGAGGCGTCGCGGCATTTCTCCAGAGGCTCTCAGATGAACAACATGATGAGATATTCTTT